AGAGAGCCAGCTGAGCGAGAGAGAGAGAGAGAGAGAGCCAGCTGAGCGAGAGAGAGAGAGAGAGCCAGCTGAGAGAGCACGCAGCTAGGCAGATTTAGGTCGTCATGCAGTAAGCACTATTCAGCACTGGGCCATGCCCGTCAGCACTCTGCAGCTCAGCAAACACACCTGCAGAGTGCAATCACCCTATACACGCCGAGCTCACCTCTCTAGCCTTTCCTACTTACCCCCAATATCGCAGCTGATATAACTAACTTCCATATCTGCAGGAAGTAAAGAGTAAGGAAGTGGAGAGAAGGGGGAGGGAAGGAGTAGGGATGATTGCGCGCGCGAGAAAGTGGCAAGAGCTCGGTAATCGAGCCTGCCCAGGGCCCCACCGGTTTCACAGGGGAGATATCTCCCATCACAAGCTCTCCCCCTGCACCGATTACTCCTCGACGGGTCTTCGTGGGCCTGTCGACAAATACGCGGGAGAATATCTAGAGAACACCTCGACATGGTGGCACCGTGGGGCTACCCGCGGAGACTCCAGCTTCTTTGAGGGAGTGGCGAGTGACATCCAAGGGGAAATCCAACCATAAATTGAGGAATTCCACGACAACCGAGCCACCTCTCTTTCCTCACCCTGGTCAGTCTCTATAACTCTGCAAAGGGAAGACTCTACAATGTGGAATAGAGAGAGTGTGACAGGAACGCAGGCAGTATACACACACACCACCACCCCATATCACGATATATGACGATCAGAAATCATTTGCTCATGCAAATGCCGGCGAGCGAGGAACGAAATGTTTGCTATTTGATTTCTCGGGTGTTCGGGACGCGCACGTACAAGGGGTCGATGAACGCTAACAGTGCAACCTCGAGGCACCCTTCCTCCGTGTGATACGACGTTTCCGATACCACCAACAAGTCGCAAAAAATCTGTTTACGTATCTCGCTTCTCTTTCTTTCTCCCAGGCATGCGCGCGCGCGCGAGAGAGAATTCTCATCCGACGAAGCCGCGAGCGCAGCAAGAAACACGCAGTACATACGCGTCGAACCCGGCGTGACCATCTGGCGCAACTCCGATCGGCGAAAAGAAGGGAAGCTACCCGTGATCGAAGAAGAGAAGCCCACCGATGGAGAGGGGAGGGTTGACTAGGGACACCGAACGCGCCCACCCTTCTCTCAGGTAGCAACTATCGTCTCCTCCCCCCACACCTAACGCGCCCCCTATCACCGCCGGAGCATGAAAACACCGCAGCTCGCTCGCTAATGTCTTGCCGGAAAAAATCAACAGACTGTACGCATATTACGCTCTCGTGCGTGTGCGTAAACAAGCTGGGTCAGCCACCCACGTTTCTGGGAATGTTTTTATGCAGCGCTAAAGCATGCTGCACTCGATAGGAGCGTGCTGTTCCTGTAGCTCGCAAGGCGAGAATATATGTGTGCATTCCCTCCCGGGTAATCGGGAACGGGAAAATCGCCCCTGAACATCAATCGCTGAGCCAGAGCTGCTCCTGTCAAGCCCAGCAGCTTCTGGGGCTCCCGAAATAGGCGAGTGGAGGTTTCGTCAGTTTGCACGTGAATGGAAAACACTCTCGGTGCTTCGTAAATGAAAGGAAACTAGCTCAAAACCACAGACTGCGGCTGATAAGATCTATGTCTCCTTGTGTACTGCCGGAACGTACCCTAGCTGGTAACTATCTGATATGGTTAGGGTTAGAGTGTAGGCGTAGGCGACTCCCTAGACTCATTAGTGGAGTAGGCAAGGTACGGTCCGGCATATTAGATAGTTACCAGGGTACGTTCTGGCAGTACCCAGGGAGACATAGACCCTATGAGCCAGACTGCGTGCCAACCTTGTACTTATTATGTAATGTTTCAGTCATCCCGGAAGTGTGTGTCAAGTGAATTACTGCAGGCAAACGCCTTACGTTTAGGGTAGCCCTACCGGTGTAGCCCCTTCGCTCCAGCTAAGGAAGCTTCCTGTAGTGCAGGGTGCTACAAAAAAATATATTCCACTTACCCTGGGCAAGTGGGTTATGGAACTGGTTGCCCGAAGGCAATAGTCACTTGCCCAAAAAACATTTTTTTCTAATATGGATTTAAATGGTAAATAACGTAAATAAAGGTCCAACTAGTCAACATCCAATATCCGGCATGGTAGAAAGTTGAACAGCTGATACGAGTTTGTATGCAAAATATATTCATGTTGGGACACCACGCAGTTTGTTTAAATTTTTTAACTCAGTGTCAGTTTATTATCAAAAACCCACCACTCACAATAAATTAATAAAATATGTTCACGTTTATTTGGGGCTGGAGCGTAGAGAATATAGCCGTGCATGCATGCAGATATAATATGCTGACAGCACAGTATATACAGTGTATCTGTTTTTGTGTACTTCAGCAAAGAAAATCCTCATTCACAGGTTGCAGTAGAGGGGCAAACATTTGAGGTTTGAGATTTACGCTGATCACGTAATGACCATGCCTGGCCTGGGGGCCGGGTTTACATGTTGCTGTGTGCATGTTGTGTACATCACTGTATCCACGATTGTTTCATTCGCATTGTTTTTTTCATTCAAATCTGCATGGTCACAGCAAGGCAGCGCGGTGTTGTGTCTGTGCAAAACAATGGAAGGGATGGGTGAAAACAGAAAAATACCATTATGTCTAGACATTCAATAAAAAAAACTTGCTTGCCCCGAACGGGCAAGTGCAATTTCAAGCTACTTGCCCGGGGGCGAATTTAGGTTGACCCGGGCAAGCGGGCAAGCGGCGTTGTCGCGCCCTGCAGTGTAGTGGGCATGAACAGCCATGAAGGGGCGGCTACACCGGTAGAGATATGTTTAGGGTATACCTGGACATAGACAAGGATATAGATTCTCCTTGTTCATGAGGTGCAGCTCGTGTACGGTTAGACACAATAATGCGCGAGCCTATTCTTTTCTTTGGAGGAGCCCCTTCAGGAGTGATTCACTCAGGGCGGTTTTATGGCGCGTTTTTCGAGACTACAACTTCCAAACTGGGTTTATTCTAAACACGAACCTTTCTCCGCTATCCTGGGACTTACTATGTATCACAATACTCTGTATTAAACTATTATAACCTGTTACAAAATTTCGAAGTGACGAGCGGCGATATTACGAGCGCCATTTCTGTTGACCTGTGACGTACAGATTCCCAATGCGCATAGCATTCGGCTAACTTCGTCATGACTGACAGCAGGCATCCATGATACATTCGATCTTGGAGTCAAAGTTAGCCGAATGCTATGTGCATTGGGAATCTGTGTACGTCACATGTCAACCAAAATGGCGCTCTAAATATCGCCGCTCGTCCCTTCGAAATTTTGTAACAGATTATAATAGTTTAATACAGAGAATTGTGATACATGTAAGTCCCAGGATAGCGGAGAAAGGTTCGTGTTTAGAATATACCCAGTTTGGAAGTTGCAGTCTCGAAAAATGCACCATAAAACCCGCCCCGAGTGAATCACTCAGGGGCTCCTCCAAAGAAAAGAATAGGCTCGCGTTGTAACCCTACTCTTGTTGGGTTACATTATTGTATCTAGTATACGGTGCACACCAACTGATCCATTTGTCTTGTGCATGTTTCCACTCGAACAGTCATATAGTTTTTGCCTATAGTCGTGGGGCGGTATATGCACGCAATCTTAAGATCAATATAGTGACCATACACTTGGCTAAGTGACGCTGAGAGGGTCTATGTCCCCCAGGGTACTATCGGAGGGTACGGTTCGATATATCGAAACGTACCCTGGTACTATCTAATTATCGCCGACCGTACCTCGCCTTACTCACTAACGAGTCTAGGGATGTCGCCCCTAGCTACGCCTACTCCCTAACCCTAAACCATAGCTGCATTAGGGTCTATGTCCCCAGGGCTACTGCCGGAACGTACCCTGGGTACGGTTCCGCATTACCCTGGGGGACAGTAGACCTATGAGTCCTTAAACCATATTCAGATAACGCTATACCAGGGTACGTTACCGCATATATCGAACCGTACCCAGCGGTACCTCCGATATATCCTGGGGGGGACATAGGACCATATGAGCCTAAGTGACAGCCTAGCTACCAGATGCGTAATACTATATTATTAAAATACAAATTTAAAACGCAAAAAAAAACACTGCAAAAACATCGGTTCTTATGCAAAATGATTAGCACTACACTGTGTACACGTACACACCGTATGCCAGCAAATTATATTTATAATAATTATATTTGCACGATTAACTTACCAACAAGGACATTGCTCGTTTCGCTCTCGATCACGGCCCCGGGGCAGAAACCTTCTTTTACGTTAGCATGGAATAGGACCTCCTCCATTTTCTGGACCAACTCCTGCAGACTGCTCAAGAAGCGTCTCTCTAGACTAGTTTCGGCACTCGAAGGGTGGTCGCTGTCGTAACTCATCCTTTACCCTAAAGACTAAAGCCTCTCTGTGACAAAAATGTTGCTAATAGACGAGCAATTTTTGAGAATTGCCAGGACGAAAACGTTATAATGTCTACCTCCTTCGCCCTCAACAACATTTCTGATCAGCTGGAGCCTGGAAAGCCGCAAGCACCGGCCGGCTTGGAGACGGGAGCTATAAATACCAACCAATCAGCGCGCGGGGGGGCTCGCGCATGCGACCAATCATGGCGACTACCTCACAAAGGCTACTAAAGGTTCCGCAACAGCTGTAAACAAGGCAGCCGAGATACATTCGGTCGATATATATATAGCGAGAACGGACAGGAAATAAACGCGTATATATACGTCCGGAAAGAAAGGGGTGACGCTGGGTTGTTATCGAAACGTGCTACGTGTTGTTCCAGTAGCGCGACTACGACAACATATTGACAAACAGTTCAGTTGGCGATAATGGAAAACTACTATAAATGATGTCGCGGTACCCCTGGCCTTGGCCTTGCACCACAAACAAGCAACGCGACGAAAGGTCATGCATGTGCGTGTGGAAAAGGAAACTAATACCAGAAGCACACTATACCTTCTCTAGCTACCGGTTATTCAACAACGGTATATACGTCTAAAGGGGTGCCAGGTCAAAATTAATATAACCATGCATGCATATAAATATTATACACATATCATCAGGAGCGTATAAAAAAACGTATTTGTCATTATACGCTCCTGATATCATGCATATATGATAACTTCGTAATGCATAACCTATGCTATGGGGATATCGCCATCCCTCTACAGATTTAACGGTGTTATGTCCTAGCTATTCGCATATGAATATAGCATGTCAGAACGCATAACGTAGGGCCGACGTGTGTACGAAACCTCCGTGCCTCGATAGTCAACGAGTAAATGGTCATAATATCATCGATCCCCACCCTCCGCAACCACATCTCGATCGAACGATGCGCATATACTTAATTGATGCTAGGTGGAACGGCGGGTGTGGGAGTCTTCTTTGATCTTATGCCGCTGCAAACAATTAAACAACAATCACGCCGATTCGAAACGCCCAAGAAAAAATTGCAGGCATCAGCAGCAGCATATATGCAGCTAGTGACAGCTATAGTGATCTATATAGCTAGTGCTTGCAGTCCCCCCCCCCATCCTCTACTTAATTATACCCCCGAGACCACCTCACAAAGCTCGATCGAATCTAGCTGGATGCACGTAGAGCGTGTTGCTAGGTGTGGAACGGTGGGGGCTTTGATCTTAAAGCCCGCTTACCGCCGCTGGAAACAATAAAACAACAATCACGACGAATCGTTCGAAAAAAAATGGCAGGGATAAGCAGCAGTAGCGGCACCTAGTCGACTCGGATCAACACTGTCCATGACAGCTATAGTGATTGAGGGACAACCTCGCTGGCCACAGCAACCGGATTTATTTTTTAGAGCGTTTGACCATGCACAACTCCGCAGGCCCTATTGTACGCTATAGTGGACACGGTCATATAGACAAAATGCTTTATTCCACGCGGGCGATAATGTATAAACCGGAATATATCCGGGCCGCTTGCAGGGCGCCAGCAGGCACACTCACCATCTGCACGTATAAGGGGCAACGTGCTAGCTGACAAACACGTATAAATGACGCTATGACGTATCCGCATCGATCATAAATTCTGTTATTACGCACAGCTTGAGTTACGAAGAAAATTAATGTAGTTTCGAATTGTGTTTCGAATTTTAATGTTGAATTTATTGTAGCTAACGCGCACGGCGTTATTAATTTACCCATGATAGATGTACGTATATATATCTATATAATCGTTATAATGAAGCAATTTCAAAAGCATCAAGCAAGGAATCGCGAAATGGCATATGTATAGCCCCAAGAAAGTTTGACATGTATGCATTTTAAACCATAATACACTATATATATATATATATATATATATATATATATCAGGAGTAGATAATAGGGATATATATATATGTGTGTGTGATATATGTTATATTGTAGCCTAGGTATACTTATACATTTATGGTTCTATGACAGTTTCGCATCCCGCCAGTATTTGGTCATTATGCAATTAAGTATATGTATGTGCATATGAGTGGTGAGGACGGTCTTGGTAATCTTTAGCTATAGATATATATAGTAATATAAAACATTGTCTTTCCCACGATATTTCTCATGTTGTTTGATATTTCATCGCCGGTGAAATTAACATTAATAATTACTCATAATTACTAATAATTAGTACATGCTTGCTGTAGAACTCGATCTGTGCGAACTATATAGCTATTATATACACGCGCACGTAGGCGCGCATGTTTGAACAGAAATGCTCAGCCAACGCAACCATATTGTGTAGGAAACTGAATTTCTAAGCCACGACGAACTGACAGTGAGCCAACAAGTTTGCTTACTTACTGCAAACAGATTGCGTTCCTCCAAAAAAAATATTAGAAAAGAAAAAGAGTTCTTTCATCAGAAATGTGTGTTATATAAACACGTACGTATCATATTTGCCCCTAATATTATTATACTGGTTACGTATAATCTATGAACGGAGTATATATATATAGCATTATTCTATGGATGAGGGCCATATCCGAGTCGGTGACGCATTCAAAAGTTTGTGGCGTGCCCTACATATAGTATACAAAATCCAAATAATAAAAATACAAATAATAGCAGTGTATATTCCGTGTGCAAGTAAAATCAGTTGTGAGTAACACCTAAATTTATAATGACAGAATTAGAATTCACGCGTAAATGATGTAAGCGTATTTCTCTAAATACTGGAAATTGTAATTGAACGACTCGATCACGATATGTAATAATGATGATAGAGATATATAACTCTGCATGCACACGTAGTGCCACCCGCCAAGCATGCATACGTACATGCAGGCATCGGGTCTGTGCGGTGTCCGGTATCGCTGCAGAACCCGCAGCATCAGCTGCATGCGCGCATCCGTCCGCCATGTAAAATACTATATAGTATTATCAGAAAGTTGCGCCATAGCATTTAGA